ATTCAGTGTCTACAAAAACAAGACGCATGCCATCTGTGGTCAACACAAATCACAACGTCTTCCGCGCTGGTTGCTGTTGCGTGACACAGTGGATCATCCCACCATCCTTGAAGAGCTTGGTAGCATCAATGCCCACCACTCTGCGAGTTGGATACACGTTGGACAGAATGTCAAGCGCCTTTTGATCATTGGGATCATCGAAGGTTGGCACCAAAACCACATCATTGCCAACATAAAAGTTGACGTAGACGCCTTCCCACTTCGTGCCGGGAACCTTCTTGGACGTCAATGGTAAATGGACAATCTTGTATGGCTTTCCTTAGGATGTCGTACTCCCGAGGATCCTCAAAGTCATCGCGAGCCAGCGTCGCAATGGTGTCGCCGTTGGCAAAGCGGGCTGTGCCATCAATATGATCATCGGTAATTTCCAAGCCTTTTGCTCCTTCCAGCCAAATAAAGTTGGTGACACCCAAATAGATCCGAAAGAACTCTTCGGCTTGCGCTTGTGTCATGCGTCCGTTCCGATTGCGGTTGAGAATGGACGACTTTTTGGCCATTAGAGTGCCTCGACCATCGATTTCCACCGATCCACCTTCGTTCACCATGTCAACAACAACGCGATCAATGTTCATTTTCTGTGCAGCCAACTCGGGAATCTGGTTACTGAGACGCCAAGCGGCTTTTTGACCCCAGCCATTAAACCTCCAGTCTTCCAGCACCAACTCATTGCGATCATCGTATACGAAAATGGGGCCATTGTCTCGGACCCAAACATCATCCGTCGGGAACGGGTAAAAATCAATCTTGCCCATATCGACGCCATGTTCAAGCAATCGGCCAGCAATTCGACGACTCTCTTGGTCGTTGTAGGAAATAATACTGACGCGCTCGCCAGTATGCAAAGCCTTGGTCATTTCAATCCATGCTGGTTCGTAGCGTTCCACATGATGGCGGTCCCAGCCGTAGTCGTGTGGCCACTGTAGCCAGGTTGATTCGTGCTCGGTCTCTTCATTCGGCATGGTGTAGATGCGAGAGGACTTTGGAGACATGTGCTGCATTGTCTCAAGTCTGGAGGCCGGTCTACACCAGTTGGACAGAGCACGGAGCATAAAGAACCTGGTCAATCCCTGGTCAACATGTCTTATTTCAAGGCGGCACCCCAAACTTCAGTGCGGCACCCTGTACTTAAGCATTTGTGTGTGTGTGTGACAATCGGCACAGCGAAAATATTGACTCTGTGATGAAGGGGCCAGCGTACATCATGTGTCGCAATCTACAGCTGTGTTGTATACACATGTAAATAAGCATATACGCGTGTATGTATACATGTATATGGATTTACATGTAAAGCATATTGAACACTTGGCGGTTCGACGACTTCTGTTCAGGCTCGCTGCGACGAGCCATCATGCTGGCGGACGGTTGGGCACGGTGAAGACCACGTCCGAGCTCACTCAAAAGGTGATACGGCTGAGCCCTGGTTAACATCAACGGCCCTCGATATAACGTCACGTTGCAGGGGCCAAACAGAGAGGACTGGAGGAGAGGGTCGGGTTTGGGGGGTGCCAGTTCATGTTTTGTCCCTGTCCACCTTGGGCGGGGGGGTATTCAGGGGAAACATTCGGTCTGACTAGGGGATGATTAGCTCAGACGCGTTGCAATCTCAGCAGGGATCCTTACATTATACACCTGAACATTGCCTTGTATATGATGGCTTCACCTTATTTTGGTGCAAAAAGCCATCATGTTTCAAATGGGCAAAGTGTATCTTTTAAGGAGCCCTGCTCAGTTAGGTACGGAGGCCGCGTTTTCACTCAACGCCTAATTAGCCAAACAAATCATGTTCGGTGCCTCTACAGCTATCGGGGCTCCTTGCTTGGTTGGAACTTGAGCTCAGGGAGAAGATGATGGGCCATCAAATAGCATAAACTCACCTGAAAAAAAAGAGGCCCCTTCGGGAAAGATGAAAGGTGCCTACACAAGAGCCCCCCTGGTCGGATTGGCCCTGCAAGGATCTGTGCCCGGCAGAATGCCACATCTTGAGAGGTACGTCAATGGGGGCGGTGCTGACTGCAATGATGATACTGTGGATGGACGCAGTCCATTTCGCACCACCGTTCAGAAACAAATACCAACAAACGGTATGGTCAACCATGGTATCAAAGTGGTGCGAAATTTATTTCACGACCATCCAACGGTAGTCGCCTTGAATGCCCGCCATTCACGCCAGGCACCACTTCACTTAGCATTCCAGCCCGGCAGTAACATGATAATCTCCAAACTGCCATAAAGCGGACTCGCTGAAAAGCAGGTATATTAAGTTGAAGTCTGGGAGTTTCACCGATCAAAGATTGATTGCAAGCTTGTTGTTCTCACCCAAGACATCGTGTGGCAGATCTCGGGCGCCGCAGGTATCTAACCATTTCCTTTTAGTTGGGTGAACGAGTATTCCCAAGGAAAACTGGAAACATAAAGAGAGACCTCCAGGAGTCGCCTTCCCCCCTCCCCCAATTTCATTGACAAAAAGGGATGGGAATGTTAGGTGGTGCTCTTGCTTAAGTTCATGGAGTCACGAGGCCCAGAGAACAAATCGAATTAAGTACTGAACTGCGATACAGGCCATCTTGCGTGGGTTCAGCCATTGGGACTTCCTCTCACAGACATGCAGCGTTGGCTCAAAAAGTGCACGTTATGCTGACCCGAACAGGCTCTAGGTCCCCCAGCTAGGTGCCCTGTCTCACCGAAACTTTTTGGGGGGAGGGTTGCCTACTAAAGTAGACTACAGAAAACAAATGGTACCCTTATTCTAACCTCTCTACTGGAGGCCCGCCTAAAGACATGCGACAAGTGGATAGAGGACAAGAAGCCGCCAAGAACGGATCATGCACAACGAAAAGCCAGCACATCTGGCCATGGGTCAAAATCCCGGTTAGCCCCCAGTGAACATCCCAATCCAACCACTAAAATAGGTTCCAAAATGGGTGAATTCACCTACCAACCAAAATGGGATCCCAAAACGGTTTTGACAACCACAGCCACGTGGATCCCGACTGCTTCTCGGTGGTGCACCTACCCCAAATTGGTACCATTGGTTTTGACAACCACAGCCATCGAGTTTCTTGCACATACGTTTGCCCAAGTCAGAAGCTCCTCGCAAGAACACCTCTTCTTGCTGATGATGGCTCAACCTGTATACAAGCAAGTGTCCTGCAACGTGTCTTGGCATGCCCAAACCGTTTCGGGGTTTATAAGGATTGCTAAGCTCAATCATTTCGGAACAAAGGGGGTTTATAAGGATTACTATAGCTCAATCATTAACCCTTCCTCCCACAAACATGGCACCTGTGGGGAGGTACCTGGAAGATCCATTTCCTCTTGAAGGCATCCGCTGTCATGTGAGTGTGAGAGAGAGTAGGAAGCGAACCACTAGGTCCTCCAGATTTGAGAGGTTAGAAGAAGTTGGTACCCTCTTTTTTTCCTCTGGTCTATTTTAGAAGGGGAACCCTCCCCCAAAAAAGGGGTAAAAGAGCACCTAGCTGGGGGACCTAGACTAAGATGGCGCCCTTTTTGGTGTCGCTTCGTTCTGTTCCGCCCAAAGAATTCCGGCGCGAGCGGCGCCTTTGGTGATGACCCCCAGCGAGGTATAGAGCGCAGATTGGGGGTTCTTCTTCACGCTCACCATCTCGAGACAGAAGGTCATCTTCAGCTCGGGGTGCGTGACGTGGGCCTTCTTGAACCTGCACCGTGAACGCGCCGAACAGCGAGCGGTTCTTTTAGGCTTGCCCAGGTTTGAAGGTTTCGTGCGCAGGCGTTGGACAAATGCTTGCCCTTCGTATGTCGTATGCTTGTTCAGGCTGACCCGTGTTAGGGGGGGACGAAAAACGAGATCTGTGAAAGCGATGTGGACCAATTCCTTTTGCCACTGTGTCACGGGGCCTGCTTTGGTATCACAGAAAGTCAGGCACCCCTTAGTTGGCGGTTTGGTAGGAACTGGGCATTTGAACCCCACTTTCTTTTGAAGCCAAACGGGAAAGGAACCCACCGGGCTACAAGCCACCAAACAACGAGAGAAGGTGCGAAAGTGGGCCTTTTGACTTGTTGAACTCTTCGGGCCCGGGAGACAAATATTTGGGCTGAATGCGCCAAAGTGACCCCTATCTCTATGGGTAGACGGGGTTCTTCTTGCCGTGATTCAACTATTGATTTTTCAAAGACAACTGCTTGAACTCACTTCGTCACTTGGTGTGGAAATCCCATACGGACCTCGAGCTGCAACATGTTTCACGTCTGACTCACCTAGCCCACGTTTGGCCTCGTTTGGCCTCGTTTGGCCTCGTTTGGCCTGAAATTTGGCCCACGTCTTGTTCGAGCTGGTTTGCCCCCGGAGGAACAGGAACGACAAACAGTTGCTGGACAGGGTGAGCACTGCAGGGGTGTGTGTGTGCGAAACTTGGAGAGTATCCGCCGAACCCCAATTCACTCTGCGCCTCTGTTTTCACTTTTGACCAAACCTCACATGGCTTTTTGAACACGGACCCCAGATGTCTGAACACATTTTTGGGATGCAAAAAAACGGGACAGGTTGGATCTGCCAAAGATGGGTCTCAACAAATAGCAACCCAAACGAATTTTGGGGTTCTTTTGGCTTCCCTGTAAAATCGACCAAAAAGAAAAAGGGGCTCCCAACAAAAAGACACCCACATCTGTATGTGGGTTCTAACAAACCTGAAGTCAAGATAATCCAGCCCATCAAGCGGCTTAGCCGTGGCTCCAAGCTTGTCTGCGAATATGGCTGGCAAAGCGCCTGAACAAAAGAAGACTAGGTCCTCCAGTAGAGAGGTTAGAATAAGGGTACTCTTTTTCTGTAGCCTACTTTAGTAGGGGAACCCTCCCCCCAAACAAGGGTAAAAGGGCACTACTGGAGGACCTAGAAGACGAGAATCAGAAAGGCACTGCCTTTACGCGTTGACAAAACGGCGGCAGCTTGCGATGTCCCCAAAAAGGGGCCAAAGGCCAAGGCCTAATTCACCGACGAACTTGTCGTGAGGCTTCCATTCGCTCAACTCCCTTGGCAATTCATGTCTATTGAAATCCGCACAAGAAACCCTTATTTAGTGTGTGTCCTAATAGGGTGGTGTTCTCGTTCGCCCAAATCCTTAGGTCCCCTGGACAAAAACACGCATATATCCAGGTAGTCATAGATACCTAGCCTTTAAAACCAAGAGAATAATATACAACATATTCTTAAGCAAATGGAAGAACTTGGGCTCCCTACCCGCATTGGACCAAAAGCATCGTCAACCGCATCCCCGAAGTGACACTCTCTTTCAATGACCCGTTGAATGGTGCTCTCTTTCAATGCCCCGTTGAATGGTGCTGCAAAGGGACGCTTTTTCCCCCCAACAAAGCGATTTGGAGAGCCCGAAATCTGAATGTATCAACCTTAGTGACGTGATCTGCTCTGTTGCCTTCCTTAAAGCAGCCGTTTAATAATTCGTCATCTTTCATCCGGGTTTCTGCTCCTTTAAGCATCCATTGAACAAATCGCGATCTTTCATCTGGGTGAGTGGCCAATTACGATTCACCAACCTGAAAGAAAAGACCACCCTCCGACGAGGAAAACGCATAGCGGGAAGCGGTCGCTGTGAACCTTCTGCCACGTCGAGACTCTACTTGCCCAGCCCTGGTTTCTTTGGGTCTCCCTAAAAAAAAAAAAAACGATGCTTGGTAAAGTTGCTACCGAATATTAAGACCTCCCCGGAAACAAACACCATCCTAGTTACACGCAACAACAAGCAAGATCTCGACAAAGGCACAACGCAAAAAGCAACAAAACCCTCCAAATTGGTTTCCTTTTGGTGTCCCTTTCGAATCAACAACTTGGTCGCCCTATTTTGAGAAAGACCCAGACAACACAAAACCCGGGAGGAAAAACACAACAACACACCCAGGATGTTTAACAAGAAACGGAGGGTGTTTCACAAACTCGGGGGGGAAAAGGAACAAACAACAACGGGGGGGGGAGAGAAGCACAAAACCAAAGCCGCGGGCGTGCCTGAGCGCTGAGGGTCGGATGTAGCGCTCAAACTTGGGGGGCTTCCGAGTGAAGCTATCCCCCACAAAGGAGACCTGCGGCTGGGGTCAGCGAGCGACGATGGAACCAAAATCAGCGCCCCAAAACCCATGGACGCTTCGCTCCACCAAGAGGGTTATACAGGTTTAAGTGGGTGTGTCTTCTTTTTTGGGGGACCCCCAAAAGGGTGGTTTTTCTGTTGGTGTCCCTTTAAAGCCACAAAGAAGGGGTAGACCTTTATAAGCACATGGGTCTGTCTCAAAACAGGGGACCCGTGTTGGACGGTTTTTAAGGAAGGTCCCCTCATTTTGAAGGAGCTGGGGTTCCTCCATTTCCCTTGTTGGAACCAGCTTCAATGGACAGCGCCACTAAATTGATCAACTTCTGTGCGCACATGGCTGAAGTTGAAGTGCAGATGCCAAAACTCGACCTCTACGCAAAGACCTGCATGGAGATGCCTTGCACACAGTGAAATGATTCGAGCCTCTCTGTTTTGGGTGTGTCGACGTCTCAAAAGTGAGTTTAAATCACACAGCTGGCGCAAAGCGCTCGCTTCAAAATAGGCATGCCTCACTGCCGGATACCAATCATCATGCATCTTGCTTCCACGCTTTTCGGCGGGTCAAGATTGGCACACCTAAACGAGCCATCCCACAGTTTAGGAGGCAACATCCTTTCTCACGTGTTTAAGAAGGCAGTCCAATCCACTGTCAGAAGGCAAGTGTGTTTACTCCCAACAAGCTCGTCTAAAACACGTAATTAGCATCCAAACCATTTGCCCATAAATGCTATGCGCATTCCATGCTTGCAGTTCTCTTGGATTCACTTCAGGAACACTCACTGAAGTGACCTCTTGCCTTTAGACGGAATTCGTCTAAAAACCGGGCCATGATCCAAACGGCCCGAAGCCAAGGCAAAGATCCCTCAAGTGACCTCTTACCCATAAAGGATAGTTTTGAAACCGGGCCATGATCCAAACGGCCCGAAGATCTCCGAAGGCTGAGGAACACTCATTGAAGTGACCTCTTGCCCATAAAGGAATTCGTTTAAAACCGGCCCAAAAAATATCGGAAGGCGAAACAATCCCGCGCTCCGGCGCCTTGTTCACGATCCGCTTCCAGGCCTTCTTCTTCCTCTTGCCGCCTCGATCCGCTCAGCCCCCGAGTTCTACGTCCAATGGTTCTCTTCAGGGCTGTGGGGAATGGAATCCACTTCTGTGATACAAGAAAAAGGTCCCCCAAAGACTACCCCGCCATGTAAAGAGGGGATTCCCTTGTATCACAGAAGTGGGGATAAACCCCTTGATCCCACAACCTTGCTCGTGCTTGGTGTACCGAAGGACCATGGGTTTGGTGGTTGGGGGGGGGGTAGGTTTATGAGGTGTATGGGGCTATGATCTTAGTTGGTTTGGTCAGGGGACTTGAGTCAGAATCGACACCTCTTAAACTTGCTGGTGCGAGAGAGGCGATGGGGTTTGAGAATTGGAATGACCTCAAAACAAATCATCCAACAGGTGGTTTTTCCTTTAAGGGGATCCCCAGGTTCATTCCACCTTCCCTACAAATCGCACCGCCAAGCTCTAGGGCTACCTTCCATTTCCATTCCTTCCAGGGATCCGAATCTTTCCGGAAACCCAGGTTGAAAACGGCGGGTGACTGAAAAGAACGATGGTTGAAACTAATGGCGAATCAACCCCTGGATTGCTACGTTGGCAACGTGTTTTTGGGCAAGCAGCTGGCAACAAACCAACAGTGATCCACAAAGCCCAGCAGCCACATGCTGAGAATAGTGAAGGATTGCAGCCCCTTTCTGGTTCCACGCAAAGGGCTTCGCCTCTTGAGAATGACCCAGGATCCAATTTGTCTTCTCCTCTCAGCCGCGCAAGGCAAAAAAAACACCTGCGATCTTATCCCTGAGGAAACCCTGCACCCAGAAGAACGGTTTACACCTCGCAGGCTTGCTTCACAGAAACCTTGATTGACCCCGCGCTGCGCACTGTGAGTTGTTTCTACCGCTCAAAAGGCGATCACCAAAACCTCCTTAAATGGAAACGCGCGGGCGCAGTCCATTCACTTTACAACTCAACTGAGTCACAATCACAACCCGGTACAAAAAATGGTCTACCCAGGGCCATGTAAAGAATTAAGAAGGCGGGCGCAACTATTTCTGGCTGCAACTGCCCCTTACTACCCTTCATCCACCCGGGTCGTAATTGTGGCTCAACTGATCTTGGCACCAGCAAAGCGCAGAAACCAGAAGAGAGAGAACTTGGAACTCTTCATGGGGTCGTGAACCTTTTGTGGTTGTCAAGGCAAACCAAACGGACTCCACCCATGTTGGGGGCTCTTAGGGAGACCTCCCGAACCGCAACATCTCGCTCAAAACGGGAAAACATACATCTCATAGGCTCGAAACACCAAACAGGTAGGTACAAGAGGTCCTTTTGGAAACCCCGCACCCAGAAACTCCTGTTAATTTGACACCCCAAATTGATTGGTGACAAAAACCAATACTAGTTTCACCGAGGATAGAATAAAAGCAAAGACCAAGCTCACTTCCTGAAAACACAATGTGTGTTTGTTATTTACCGCCAAACGCGTTTTCCCCAAAAGTGTCATGTCCAAAAGCTTAGGTTTTGTCAGAAAGACATGGGATGCCTGTCATTTCTGGGCTGTCCGTGTTCAGATCCCCTGCTAAAAGTTGAACACGTTTAGTGGGCTAAATGGAAACCCAACCACAAAACGCTTAACACAACTAAAAACCCGAAGTTGACCCGGAGGGCTGGCTTCCGACCACCAAGATTAACGCTAGCAACAGCTAAAACCTAAGTTGAACCGGCTGGCTGGTTCCGAACCAGCCAGATTTGTTTTGGGGATTCCGCAGGTTTGGTAGTTGCTTGGGCAAACCGCAGGTTTTAGTCCTAGTTTCCATAGGGTTCCATTTTTGGGATTTCATTTTTAGAGCCACCTGTTCTGGTCCTTTGGAACCGGACAACTCCTAAAGAACTAAAACCTGAACCGGACAACTGGGAGCCCACCGCCCAGAGGCTCCAAATCGATGAGCTTTGGGGCCCGAGTAAAGCGCCAGGTTTTGAGACCGGGTCCCAAACACCGAGGGCCCCGGGGTGTCGTTTTGGGGTCGGGTCTTCCATTGAAAGCCGAAGCGGATCGGAGCCTCTGGGGCAATTAATCTTGGTTCGGCTTTTCGAGTGTGTCACTTTTTTCGGAAACCCCCCTTCTTTTGGATTGGTTTTAACGAGAAACCAGAGGGAACACCAAAAATGGTGAGTTGCCTCTGGGTCCTTTTGACATCGCCCTACCTGGAGCCTCTGGGTGTTGGGTTTGGTTGCCATTCAAGCAACAAGCTTGGACTTGTTTGGGGTGCTCTGTTCTTTGCCTTTCGATTGATCTTTCCGCAAATCGCAGGATCCAAACCTCCCCGAACCGAGCGGGGTTTCTTTTTTTTGGTCCAAGTCGCTGCGGAGGATCTTGAACATCTCATCCTCCGTCATGGCCTTCACCTTGGGGATGGGCACTTGCCACTTGCCCGCCTTCTCCTGCGGTCGAGTGGGGAAAAAAAGGATATGTCCTTGTTGGACGTTGGAAGGGGAGCCAAAATTCTACCAAATTATAGCAGGTAAGTGGATTTGGATTTCAACCACCAAACCACTATAAGCAAAAAGGTGAAATGTGTCCCAACAACAATCATATGTTGCTTCTTGGAGGGGAACCCCCCGTTTTTGTTGGTTTTAAGGGGAAACCAAAAGGAAAGGGAAACAGTGTTAAATCAAATATTTGGGTATATGTCGCTTTTTGAGGGTATTTTCTTTTGGTTAACGTTGGTTCTAAAGGAAGCAAAGGGGAAAACCACGATTCTGGGGGTCCCCCAAAAAAAGACATAGCCATATGGTAAATTTGCCAAAACCATCCAGGAGACCACGAGCATCACTGGGGAGTCCGTTAGTGTCGCAAAAATATTTGTTCTTTGGCCCAAAGCCAAGGCTTCCAGGATCAAAGCGTGAGCTGCGGTCGGTGTGACTGGGTCAAACGGATCCCGATCGAAGGGGAGACCCTGCAACCAGTTCAGGCTTTTTGGCTGGGAGAAGATGAAGAACACCCAAGAAGCGCCAAAAACCCCAAGGTGAATTCTGGCAATGGATGGGCCCCTTGTGATAAGCTCGAGCGCTGTGGAACCCCAAGGTGCGAAAAGGAACTCCCCTCACGTCATACATGGCAACGGGTACCAAACGTTGGCTCCCAGCTCCTCAGCACATCGAGGAAACCAAAACCCCCGCTACGAAAGTGGCGCTTTTCACGGGATTGAACTGGAAAGCGGCAACCAACACCCCTCCACAACCGCGAGCTGCCCTGCTGACAGGGAGTTGGTGCGGCATAGCGTTGAGGCAGTCATGGCAAGGAACATGTCTAGGTCCTCCAGTAGAGAGGTTACAATAAGGGTACCCGATTTTTTTCTGTAGTCTATTTAGGTAGGGGAACCCTCCCCCAAAAAAGGGTAAAAGGGCACTACTGGGGGACCTAGATGTATATTGAACCCCAGGCTCAGAGTTTTTGCTTCTTGGCCAGAACTCCACAACAAAACCTTGTGGCATCCAGTCACAGGTGCCACGACCACGGAACGAATCATCAGTGAACGGGGGTCAGATTTCCCACCCAAAGAAGGTCGCACAATACAATTGCAGCATTTAAGTTGAGAAATCTTAAGAATGGACATGCCACTCCAGCTTTTGATCTTGCTTGAGAAACAAGCCAAACACCTCAAGTTGAACCGGAGAGCTGGCAACCCTTTTACCGCCCTCGGTGAAAAAACCAACCGAAAAGAAAGCCCCAGGAACCCGAACCCGGCGTCGCCCGCCCAACTTCCGTGGGTTTTTTTTGCGCTGCTTGACCACACCAACCAAAAACCAAATCAAGCACCTAAGGAACCGGATGCCTGGCAGCCCGGAACCGCCGCCGAACCGCCGCCGGTTCAAGCTGCCGTGCGCTGCTGCTTCACCAAACCGAAGAAACTACAAGCCTCAGTTGAACCGGATAGCTTTTGGAACCGCCCCAACTTCCGGCTCCTTGCGCTTCTGCTTGATCATGTTGGACAGCACCTTGGTGCGTCTCACCTGCTCTCGGTCCAGCAGATACGCGGGCACCGCCCCGGGCTTCACCTCCTCCGCGTCCGCCTTCGCGTCCTTTTCTTGGTGGGCCTGGGCGGTCGGTCCGGCAAAGGATCCCGCCCACATGGGGGGGGGGGGCTCCATTTGCTGGAGTCCCCTGGAAAAAAAACAATAATTCCAGTAGTGATCGATTCCCTTTAAAACCAACAAGGTTTTTTGTTGTTTTTACTTAACCAAATGGGGGGGGTGGATCCACGATTTTCAATGGGGAACCTAACAAAAAGGGCGAAGCCCCAAGACTAACCCCCGAAAAAAGAGGGGGAGATGTCCTATCACAGCACTGTGGATCAACCCCTTGATCCCAGAACCCTGTGAGAGATTGATCATAGACCTGATTAACACCGATTCAAGGGCGAATTCCCCTTTCAGGGTGATACTGTGGATGGACAAAATCCTGCCCCACTTTCAAACCGTGGGAAATCACTGTGCGTTGCAATTTACCGGGGGGATCATCATTTCAGGGTTTCTTAGGTGGTGCGAAATGGATTTCGTGCATCCACAGTATGTTAGACACCCGGACTCTTTAGGGAACCTCACAAAAAGACACGCAAACCACGGGTGCTGAACACTGGGTACTTGAACGTTGTGCTCGGTCAAGGATGCCCAAGTGGTGAGGGCCGTGGCCATGTCTTGACATGCCAAATTCTCAGTTGTTCAATGACTGTGGGAAAAAAGGGAACCCTTTTTGGCCACCAAAAAAAAGGGAAAAAGGGTGCCACTGAACAACTGAAAATTGCGCAACCCTCCCAAAAAAAACGGGAGGGGAACCCTCCCCAAAAAAGGGGAACAGGGCACTACTGGGGGACCTAGCCAAACTTTGGGTTAAAGATGGTCCAGCCCGAAAGTAGAATGTCCAGTGCAACTCGGGAAGCGCAAGCCTACCCGCGGGTTCCTCCAACAAGGGATGAGCTGGGGAGGTGTTGCAGCAGCCAGTAAGACTCAGGCGGAGCACCTGAAAAGGCCTACCAAAGGAAGGGGCGTGGCACTTTGGCGCCCTTGGAGTCAAATTTGGTAGACCCCCCATTTGGCGGCTCGCCGCCGTCTTGGAGTGTCAGGTGTGTGGGCTTGCCCGACTTTCGTCACACGATGTCACACGAATCCTTTCCGAAAAGTCCAACAGCAGCGGTGCGGTGGGCTCATGTTCAGCACCCAGAGGCTCCCGATGGATTTAGGGCCCGATTCAACCGCCAGGTTTTGAGACCGGGTCCCAAACACCTCCGGGATGTCTAATGGGGTCGGGTCTTCCATTGAAAGCCTCAGCCGATCGGAGCCTCTGGGAATAACAAAAACAACCCCCCCCGACTCTTGCGGCGCATTCTCTCAGGTGCCCAATAAAAAGTCCAACCGGGGCAGTGTGGAGTGGGCGAAAGTTCAACAAGGAAACTTGGTTGACGTTGGAAGGGGAGCAAACAAAATAAAAGTTCGGCAGTTAAGTGGATTTGGATTTCAACCACTAAACCACAATAAGCACAAAACAAATGTAAAATGTAAAAATCCCAACGACAACCATATGCCGCTTCGAGGGGAACGGAACCCCCCCCCCCCGCGTTTCTTTGTTGGTTTTATCGGGGGAAAAACCGCCAGCAGCTTCTCGGGAGCCGAGGAGTTGAGCTGCCTTGATGGTCTTCTTCATGGTGGCCTTCTCGGTATACCTGGCAAGCTCGCTTTTTTTGCTTCCGGCAGTGGGGGTGTCGCCCGTTTTTTTTCTTCCCCCGTTTTCCGGAGGATTTTGTTGCCTCCAATTGCCAAAAGCCCCCGGGGAAAAAAATCGAAGATATTTCCCAGTAGTGATGGATTTCCCTTTTGAAACCAGCAAGGGAAAATACCACATACTCTTAAGCAGGGTTGTGGGGAATGACCACTTCTGTGATACAACAAAAAAGGCTTCCCAAAGACTACCTTGTCAATATAAAGGGGGATTCCCGAAGGTATCACAGAAGTGGTTGGAGAAACCCCTTGCGATCCCACAACCCTGCTCTTAAGCAAATGGAAGTTCGGTCGGCTTTCGGGGGACCTTGTTTGACACATGCCCGTTTGCAACCGGGACCCGTTCTTGCCTTTTTGTTTGGGGGGGGAAGCCACCAAGCAGAAGCCCCCAACAGGCCCCTGGTGCGCTTGTTTTCACAACGGTTGGCTGCGTCCAAACTCGCCACCAAAAGGGCTGCCCGCTACACCTGGTGTCAAACATGCGCAAGGCATCCATGTTCAGGGACAAACCACAAAGCACCGACTTTCCCGGCAAAGAACAACACATCCGTGAATCAATGTACCAGCCACCAATGAAGTGCTGACATATAAATCCGGCAGCCAAAACACCGCTTTCGCTTTCGGTGCCCCTTGGCTTGCTTTTAACCGCGTTTGCAGTCTCAATTGGAACTCTCCCGACTTGTTCGGTCACAACACCTCACATGGGTCTCCAAGAATCGTGGGCGACAAAGGGAACCTGGTAAGGCGCTGAATTAAGAGACTTCCAATGCCTAGGAGCCCAAGACCGCATTGTTTGAAGCGTTTTAGGGGGGTCAAGGCTCTCATTTCGGGTCTTGGGCTCCTAGGGAATGCTGGATGTACAAAACAAATCATAGCCACGAATGTTGGTTTCCCATGAAACCCATGCTGCCTGCAACTTTCGGGCCTCAAAACAGTCGGGGCGGTTCAAATACGCGCAGGTACGACCGGAACTGCTCACGCCGTCCGGAGACCAAGTCCGGCTACAAACGAACCACTCCCCGAATAATGAGATATCTCTTGCTCCAATAAAGCATGCCACTATGGCTATCCTTCCTCCCGCTGCGGTGTACCCGGAACCTTTTTCCCCGTCAGGCGCCAACGTGGGAGTGTGCTTTGGCTCGCACGAGCCCTCGCAAGATTCAACCACCTTAGGGCCTTATCAGCTGGGTTGCTCTCCCCTGAGCAAAAGGTCGCTGAATGTAAACATAATTTTGACTCCAAAAGGTTCAAGGGGCGATTTGGTCACACCAAAGACCAGCCATGAAGGGGTTGCTTCTTCAGGGCAACGCCAAGTCAAGCTGGAGCCCGTGACCAAGGCCCTAAGAACCGCCTCCTCTGAGACTCCAACCCCACCGCCAGGCCTTTTGGGGTTACCACCTGTTGACTGACGTGGAGCCCACTGACCGTGACCGCTAAACCCGACTGACGGCCTTTTTTTGTGAGATTTGTTGGAGACACTTTCTTCACTTCTTTGTTTGACCACTGACCACCACTGACAACCCTGACCCTGACCCTGACCGCCTGATCCCCCACCGAACCACTCCCGGCGCTCGGCGCTCGCTTTTCTCCGGCGCCTCTTCTTGGTGAAGAGCTTCGCCTTGATGCCCCGCAGCTTCCGCGCGGTCTTGGAGATCTTCTTGGGCTCCCTCGCCTTCTTCTTCCGGAGCCGCTCCTCTCGCGTCCGTCGCGCTTGTCGCGCTCGTCGAGCGGGTTCGTTTTTGCTTCTTCTACTTGGTTTTCTAAAAAAAAGAAGCCCTAGCGTGGTTCTCCCCCATCCAAAAGGGGCTCCCTATTCTGTTTCTCCAGAGAACTGGTTGGTTTCCTTTTGGTTTCCTTCAAACCCCCATCGAAAACGGCGTGGATGGAAAAGCGAAACCCGTTTCGCGCCACCTGATTGAAACCCTGGCTTCTGATTTGATTGCCGGGTTTTCATACCAACAAACGTCTTGGTTTCAACCCTGGTTTCCAAGCGGTGCGAAATGGATTTCGCAGCCATCCACAGTATCTTGGGGCGCGTTCTCTCAGGTGCCCAGCAGATGGGCATCCTTTGCTGGTGGGTTGACTTTGCAGGGGAACCCTTCCCGAACAAAAGGTTGGTTGCTGCTGTTGACCCCTGTGCCAAAAAAGTGATATTTGTTTGTGGGTTTAGTGGAACCCCCCCTTTTTTTTCAACCAACAAGTTGAAGTCTACAGATCCAACCCAATAGCAGTCAAGTAATGGGCGCTTTCTTCCCCCCTTTCGGTCTCTAGGCGTCCGTTTTGAGGAAGTGTTTGTTCCATTGAAATCATGAAGGGTGGGGGTGCAATATTTCTTCTGGGGTCCTCATGATCAAAGCGCTTCCCGAAGCGCTTGTAGGACTCTTTGATGTATTCGTTCTGCGGCATGGCTGTCTACACTCGCCTTGCGCGGGCGCGGGCGTTGCACTTCCCCCTTTCAGATCGGGGAGGCAAGACCCGCGTCTTAAGCGCGCTTGAGCCAGATCTGATTCTCAAAGCGGTCAAGGTGAACCTTTGGCAAAATGCGCGTTCGGCAAGATTCTGCTTGGAAACGCTTATTTTAATTGGAAACCAACCCGCAACCACCAAACCACCGGGCGCCAAACCACCAATTCGAGGGAAGCGGATGGTATGTTCTTCATCCCGCATCCTACGTCTCCTACTGTGGATGGACAAAATACTGCACCACTTGGAAACCATGACCAACCTTTGATGGTTGGTATTTACGTTGGGGCATCCACATAAACCAGGGCTTCTTAGGTGGTGCGAAATGGATTTCGCAACCATCCACAGTAAGGAGCCCTCAGGGCCTCCTCCAGAAGAGCTTCGCTGGCCTTCCGGAAGAATCCATCCGACCCCGGGGCTTTTTGCTTTGCGTGCCTCGAAGATACATGGGGAAACCCCATTGTCGAAGATATGGGTCCAACATAGGGTAACCCCAAAATGGCGCAAGCCCTGGTAAATGGAACCAAGGACGAAACGCTCCCTCCTGGTGGGGTAACTTTGCATGTTGACCCTTCTTGGGACCCCGGATTCATCAACCCCTGCTTGATTTTGATCGGGGGTGTCCCCTTTTAGTGGGGATTCAGACCACTTTTGGAGGGAACACCCCAAATAATGGGACAGGTTTATTAATCCTGGGTCAACATTCATTGAGTCATAATCAAAACCCGGTACAACAATGGTGAATCCAGAACCATGTAAAGAATAAAGAAGGCGGATATCCGCAGCAATTTGTGGTTGGGATGGTCCCTTACTAACCTTCATCTACCCGGGTTTTGATTGTGGGTCACATGGGGCCCGTGGTCTCAAAAATATGTTGACACCGTTTTGGGACCTCTTGCCGCCAGTGAATGCCGCCGTCTAAAGGCGATACGAAATATCGAAATATCGGGCCCCTACCTTTTCAGCTGGGTCGGTCCTCCAGTAGTTTGAGGTTATAAGTTGGTGCCCGATTTTTTTCTGCAGTCTATTTTAGTAGGGGAACCGAATCTCCCAACCAAAAAAGTTGGTGAGAAAGGGCACTACTGGGGGACCTAATTTCACAAACCTTCAGACTCCTCCAAGAATAAGCAGGTGTCGGCATGGTGTCGAGGGCTTGCCGCAGCTTGTGCTTGATTTACTATGGTCAAGCCCTGCATCGCATGTTTGCGAGGAGAACCTCATCGACCGCTTCAACTCCGCGATGGCATCAATGGACAGTCCGTCGCACGTGTTGAAGAAATTGTGTTGAGTGTCTCCAAGTATCAAGAGATCGTCCCACCCAAACGTGGCACGATTTAACACCGGATTTCCCCTGCAAAAGCTGCAATTTACTGGTGGTCTCGCTTGAAACTGCCACTCTTGGAAGTTCCGAAAAAGAACATGGCTCTGAAACCCTGTTTAAGGAAAGAAGCCTTCCAAATTGCCATCTGTAACTGCACTGGCCGCCTGCTAACAGCGAAATGCCGGGACCCCAACGAAGCTCTTTGAAGGACACGGTCGACCCAGCCACAAATGCAACTGACGGGGGGGTTCTGTTTCCAAATCTGGGGGAACCTAGTTCAAATTGGTTGAATCACCTTCGATGAGCGTGTCTTTTTTAGGGCACCCTTTTTGAGTTGTTTTACAGGGCAAGGACTTGTTCTTTTTGAGGGGGGGGACGCCCCAATGTAGTCTGGAGCGCGGATCCAAAGAAAGTTCCACCGGTTGAATTCGGAGACTAGCGCTTTGAGCAGGGGTCATTGCAGAAGCTTCAACTCAAGCATTGCACCACATATCCTCCCACCAACGAACATGGAAGCGCGCAAACCCGCTTTGGAAGACGATTTTCCAGCCTCTGTATATGTGCCTTGTTGTAGCCGGGCGGCTTAAAGGAAAACCACCAGTTTGGGGGGTCCGAAGTTGAAAAGACAGACCCATAGATATTCTAGGGGTAGCTCCCCCATTCTTTCCAGGGATCCTTCTTTCCAGAAACCCTCAGAAATGCAGGGGAAACAGCCGGTTTTTGAAAAAACAAAAAAAACAATGGTTGAAAATCATGGGGAATGAACCCCTAGAAATGTGGGATGGGCCCCATGTTTCTTTGACCGGGCAGCTCAAGACGAATCTCGTCTCCAGGCGGTGCAGCACGTTTCCCTCCATAGTGCCTCGGGAATGACCAAACTCAGAGTGAGTAGAATATGTCTAGGTCCTCCAGAAGAGAGGTTAGAATAAGGATACCCGATTTTGCTTCTTCCGTAGTCTATTTTAGTAGGGAAACCCTCCCCAAAAAAAAGGGTAAAAGGGCACTACTGGGGGACCTAGATGTGCTTTGTGTCCTTTGGATTTTCTTTCCCGGGGGCACTTAAGCTTAGTTCGTCTTACCCCCTTTTGTGGGTTGTTTTTTTCACGAGCAACCAAAGGAAACACCAAAAATGGTGAGTTGCCTTTGGGTTCCTTTTAACATCCTCAACACAATAAAGTTGCAAGGCTTTGGCCGTTGGTGTCATTCAAAGAAAAGAAAACACCTTGAAAAGGGCACCCTCAACAACAAATGCACCCATGTCCTGCTTCAAGAGCCCAGTTCTTAACCTCTTGAACTTGAGATCAAATTGGTTCTCCCACCCGAAGGGTGCTCAACTTCTTGTCCTTTGCGGTCTCTGATGGGGAAACTCGTAGGCCTGTACTTTTGATCTGGTTTGGCTAGACATAGATCCTTTCCACTGACTAACATAATGTTGCTTTTTTGCAGGGAAGTCCATCTAGGAAACAAAAATGTGTACTCCAATCCGATTCACTCAATTCGTTCAGTTGTCCTGTGGATTCCACCATTTCGATGTTCCAAGCATTCAACTTGGATCTCCAAAGCGGCTCGGACGGTTTCCCTGCACTCGAACAGCCCCAGCAGAGCAACTTGGTGGCTTCCAGCCCCCCCAAAATGAGAGGCGTCCCCCGCACCAATGAATAGACCCAGACCCGCTTCGCCCCGCTTGGGCCCCCCGGCTGAAGGGCCGCAGCAGCACGATGCTCTGCAGGTGGACGAATCCCAGCACCCCGAAGACGAAGACCCTGGCGATCCATCCGAACTCGCTTCGCAGCTCGAGGCCAGACCGACCGATCCGAAGATCTTCCTAATCGGTTTCCGGCAGCCTGGAAGTTGCTTTTTTTAGTGGGTTTCTGTTTGTTTATGTTTTTTCTTTTCTCCGGAAAACGCCACGTTAGTTTCGGCTTTGGGAAAGCTGGCAAAAAACAGGAGGCCGGGGTTGGTCTCAAGGATGTTTCAAGAAGCCAGGATCTGGTGGCAACGAATCGTGTGCGGCATGTACAAAGCTGCAAAGGACTTCATGCTCACGTACACTTACGAAATCAACCTGGACGCCTTCTGCGCACATTCTATCTTGGCAAGTGGCAATGCTATGGTTTTCAAGGGAACCACTAGGGTCGCCGAGAAGCCGCTATGCTACCGCCCTTTGAGATGTTGTCACAAGTTGCCCTGTTTCTGGTGGAGCCAGCTGGTTGATGCCATATTCTGGACCAATGGCTGGTGCCGGGCCTCAGCCAAAAAACATCGCGAGCCTATGACTTGAAAGTCCCGCAAGGCCATCGTCCTTCGGGTAGCATATCTGGCCGCAAATGACCTTCACCCGTCGTTGGATTTGATTCCACCCGTCCGAGTGTTGAATACCCGTGTGGAAAACTCGTCCAATGCCGTGTTCTTGTGATCTCCTTTTGGGGCAATCAACTGAGTCACAATCAAAACCGATCGGTACTAAAATCGTCTACCCAGAACCACGTTTCAAGAATTCACAAGGCACCCATTTACGGCAAGGGGCTCTTCCCTTACCCGCCAACTTCCCGGGTGTTCAGCCAGTGACTCAACTCGCAAAACCGCGCGATGGGACCGGGCCTCAACACCAGATCTGGGATCGCCGAGCCCGCCATGAACCTCGGGCGCTCTTGGCTCAAAAGCCCCAAGGTGGAAAGCCATCCGCAAATCCCCGGCAGTTGAGGCGAAAGGCGCCCAACGTGATTCGACATAAAGATGAACAAGTGGAACTGGTCTTTTACAGTCACCTTCGCTTCCCTTCGCCAAAAGGAGAAGCATTTCTTATACAAACCTGGATTCCAGAACGACGGACATGAAACCATTATTGGCAAACAAAAAAAGCTTGTCATTACACCCCCAAGTTTGTTCCATGGCGAAACACCTCCTTTCTCAGTCCCGGATTCGGCGCGAAAGAGTCAAACATGTCAGCCTTTCTTGTAACGAACACCACTCATAAGGACCTCCTCTTCAAATCATATTGTTGTGTCAGTGTAGCAATTTCGCCGCATGAAACCAAACGGAAACTAACCTTGGGTCCGCGTCGATCAAAGGGCCGACCAGTTCTCATGAACCGCTTCTGCATCCTCTTGTGGTAGCCAACAAGTTTTGAAGCCTAACCACCTGTCGCAATCCATGCCTTTAGACTTTCAGCCCAAGTGGATCGTAACCAGAGTATGTCAAAACGTGGGTGGGCCAATTATAACGTAGTCATTGCAACTCAGCTTCCCTCTAAGTGGTGCCTTGGTAGCTTGCGGAAAAAGTAGCCAACAACTCCCCGAACGAATCCGGTCCGAACCACCAAAAAGGGGCGCTCGTGAGCTGAGTTGCCCCTTCAGCGAACCAATCTGGAAGACAAGGACCAAACGGTCCTCCAGATTTGAGAGGTTAGAATAAGTTGGTACCCGATTTGGTTTTTTTTCTGTAGTGCCTCGGGAATGACCAAACTCAGAGTGAGTAGAATATGTCTAGGTCCTCCAGTACTTTGAGGTTAGAATAAGTTGGTAGGAGCGTCTGGGCCAAAAAAAAGAAGTTTCTGCGATCCGAGGTGCAGGAATCGCTTCACAAAGAGGCTCAGCTCGTAGAACCAGAACTCGGGCTCGAAGTCATTGTAGAGCATGCCTTTGCTTCTCTCCCGAGTGGGTGGCCAAAAAAAAGAGGAACCAAACTTGGAGATTTACCACCCAGACGCTCCTGCGGCTTCCAATGGAAGACCCAGAACACCCCTTTGGGGGTTTTGGGGTCTATGTTAAATCGGGCCCAAAGTCCATCGCATTGGAGGTTCTGGGCAGTAAAAGCAACCAAGCCCAAAAGTATCTCAAGTCCAACTCGGGAGGTGCGGCTTAGCTTGGTGGGTTGGATCCGCGGGCCTAGATGCCTCTGCTTACCTTCGATGCGTTGCCCTCAATGGGGAAAGTGCCCCCAAAAGATGAATGTCCTCTAAACTGGGCTGTCCGTGTTCTGTAGGAGGGGACCATAACTATGCATATTGTATATATGTATATATATATATATATATGTGCGTATGTTATGGTTTCTGGTTTGCTCACAAATATATGGATGTACCTTGACACATGACTTTACCAAGAAATCCTTAAGCAAGACACCTCCGTCATCGAGCTCGTTTTGCCCGATTCTGCCCAGATATACCAACACCAAAAGTCATGGGCCTCAGCCAGCCAACAACGGGGAGGGGTAACATCCAAGCGTGGGAAGGTGCCGAAGACGTACTGCCAGGTCTTGTCCTTCAGGAGATGCCTGCAAAGCTCCGGACGAAACGATCCAAGGCGTTTTGGAGATATGGGTGTGGTTGCCAAAACTAGGGTAACACCAAAATCGAACCCTGGTAAATGAAAGCAATGATTAAGACCTGGCTCCATATCCTGGCATTTGATGTTTTACCCATACCCATATGGCCATGGGTCAAAATCCCGTGCCCCAGCGAACATCCCAATCCCCACTGAAATCGACTAAAATGGGTGGTGCACCTAGCCCAAAATGGTACCATTGGTTTTGACCCGCAGCCATATCTTCCATCTATGTTTGTAGGTGTTTTTGGTGCTGTTTTTCGCTGGTTGACCCTCCAAAATGCGAATAACGGCGCGTGGGCAGCAACTCACCAAGAGAGCAAAGGCACAACCCTGCACCGAAGCCTTAAAATGGTTTCGCTTTTTCGGGTTCACTAGATTTCTCTTATTCAAGGGTTCCAATCTGCTGGTAGGTTTCAATGGAATTGCGACTTTGGCCAAGGAAAGGTATCCTTGGCTGTGGTATCACCCCAGTACACTTGATATTTCATAGCAGGTGTGTTTTTTTTGTGAAAGTCCGCGCGATCCAGGGTGAAGCCTTCTCTTGTTTCAGGGTTCCACGTCCCCCAACAAAGGCGCGTCCCGTTTTGGACTTGGTTCTCACTGGATCGTGACAGCCGGCCTTGAGATTTCTTTCGGGACAAGGGACTCTGTGGTCGACAAATTCTGGCGGGGGATCATTGACTCGCGGCTGCCAATAATAAACCACAAAACGCTCGTGAGTCATACTCAAAACCCGGTATCAAAATAGTCGAGCCAAAACCACACTTCAAGAAGTAAACTGACGGCTTCCGGCACCCATTGGCTGGCAATATCTCCTATAAGCTTCATCTACCCTCCCAGCACTTAGATAACATGGAACCTGACAGAGGGTCCCTTAAAAAGGAAAATAAATGGTCTTCCAGAACCCCCCTCTCAGGTTCCATAAAAGTTGGTGGGAGGGCCCCCGAATCCGTTTTTCTAGGGGTGGATTCCCGATTATCTTCAACCATCGTTCTTTCCAAAAACCAGCCGTTTGCCCTGGAAATCCGGAGGTTTTCTAGAAAGAAGGATCCCTGGAAAGAATGGGGAAGGTACTCCTAGAGTTTTCAGCAGCTCGCGCCTCTTCTTGAGGTTCCGCAGCACCAGCCAGAGCACCAGCGGGATGGCCACCCCCTGCAGAGCCTCGATCAAGTTCCCCAACGCGCCAGGGCGAGTCTCAAATGCGAGCTTCTCAAACGGTGGAAACCAACAAGGACAACCTTTTAGCTTTACAACCCTGTGGTAGCAAACAACTGGAGTTTCGTTGCAGTCCCCTACGAAACATGAACTGGACAACAAAGAATGAAACACTTGCCAACAACAGTGCAGCTCGGGCACCCCTGCTTTGAGAACCAAACTAGAGCAACAGTCTGCCCCCAGCTGTCCGAAGACTTTGCCTAAAGGAATCATGAGGGCCATAGGCAGAAGGGGGGAAGGGGTCCCTGTGTCAAATAATGAAACAGCATTTTAACATATTGCAGGTGATGCGGACCCAAACCCATACCCCTCGGTTGCAACACTTTTGGATCCGGACCCCTAAAAGGTAAAAGGGTCAGGCAAGGTTTGGAAAGCTCGACTGTCAGATCCCACGATCAAAGTTCAACTTTTAGTGGGTTTAATGTGGAAGTATCACTAAATCAACTAAGAAGCTAAAGAAAAGCTTAAGGAACCGTCTGGCTGAAAACAACCAAGAAACAAAGGGTCTGCTTTTCCAAAAGGGCCTCCTCCCTGGTTTCTCCCTCTGCTTCTGGGGAGCACGCCTTAGCAATCCGAAGACCGTTCCAGGGCAACCTGTTGAACAGATTTTGAAAACAGACCTCCCTCCAAATGCAGAAATGACTCAAGGGACGCCAGGCAACAATGTCTACGGAATCTTTTCAGATCTTTGAAAGGCTCGTAGCACTCTGCCATGCACATCACCAGCCTGTGGGAAAACATATTCCAAGCAGGCAGCAAAGGCTGCCGTATGCTTCCCTTTGAACTGGGTTGTCCTCAGATCCCCCGCTAAAAGTGAATAGCTTTTAGTGGGTTAAATGGACATCCAACCACCAACCCCACAAGGCTAAACAGCTAAGGAACCAGATGGCTGGGAACCACCAAGTAAAGGTTCCATGGATGGCCGGAGGGAAGTCCCAAAGAAGTGGACAAAAAGGACATGCCGCGCTCTGGGTTTGGTTTGAGCCAACTCCCAACTGCTCCCCTCTCTATACCAGCCTGCATCTTTGGAGAAAACCGGGGAGCGAAAAACAGGGTCGGTTCGGGGAGGTTGGCTCGGATCCTACGATTTGCGGAAAAAATCACCAACCAAAAGGCAAAGAACAGAGCACTTCAAACAAGGCCAAACTTGTTGCTTGCCGCAAAATGGCAACCAAACCCAACACCCAAAGGCTCCTGGCTTCGGCTTTCAATAAAAGACCCGACCCCTCCATTAGACACCCCGCTTCGGTGTTTGGGACCCGGCCTCAAAACCTGGCTGTTTGAGGGCTCTAAATTCATTGGGAGCCTCTGGGCAAGTAGAAAGTCCGAGTCCCGGAACTCAGACCGTGACGAAAACAACTAGATCCTCCAGTAGAGAGGTTAGACTAAGGGTACCGGATTGTCTTTTTTTTGCCACTTTAGTGACTGGGGAACCCTCCCCCCAAAAAAGAAACGGTAAAAGGGCACTACCGCGACACCCAGACAATCCGATTCGCTCAGCCCTGCACCGAAACGCAGGCCGAGATGATGCTGAAGTTCACCACCCGCTCCGCCGGCACGTCCAGCCAGTAGCGCATGCCTCGAAACCCACAATGACTAGGCTTCAACAAGACTCCCGGTGGTTTGGTGGCTGAGGGGATTCCATTCCCTCAGCCAGGGTTCAAATCTCCAAACCACCAATCCAAACCACCAATTCAGGGTGACCTGGTATGATGAGGGACATATTAACAAAAACAACGCTATCATGAGGGCCTATATAGGTAGAATGCTGGGGGGGTGGGGAAACAAGGAGAAAAACATCTGGTGTATCTTTATTTTTTCCGGCGAAATGTCTTCAGACGTGTAGATAAGGGCGAATGAATCTACTAATATCAGTTGGCAAACAAGTTGACTGTTGCAGGTCTGGCTTGGTGGTCTTGCCCGTAACCTTTCGCAAAAGTTGTTATTTTCATCAACCACAACCAAGAACCATAGAAACCACCCCCAAGCCTCGCCGTGAGGCACTGGGTTGGTCTCCAAGCGGGAGAACCCGCCAGACCAAATGCGGGTTGGCCTCTTCCAGGTTTGAGCTAACCTTTTGGGCCCTGGCCACAAATCGCAAAGGGATGGGGATTGCCTTGGGTTCATGTGGGGTCATGGCCCTGCCCACTCCTCTTTGAACATGTCGTTACCAGTTTGGTGAAACGTCGATTTGGTCACACTCTTCCCTATTGACGCTGGGTTAACCCAAAAAGCTTCTGAAGGTGGATGCAAGTCTTCACACTGACCAAGCTACTTCTTTGCCCTTCAAACAACTTACGCACAGAAACTTACATGCTTGGTTTCGACATACCCCTTCCCAGTCAAAGAATAAACAGGGGCCATGACGAGAGTATTTAGGCAAATGCTGCCTCTGCTCATCAATAGGCAAACACGACTCGAGATGACGCACGAATCAGATCCGGCAATTTGCCTGGAAGGCAAGTGAAAAGTCTCTTTTGTAAGAGCTGTTTCGTCAAAAACACCTTGTCTCGCATCGGGCATTGCGCTGTGAAACGACTCGGGTTGCAAGGCTGCGCCTTTTGAACAGTTCCAAGGGGCCACTTGAGCCAAAGAAAACATATCAAACTGTTTGTGTACCACTGCTGTGATACTGTGGATGGTTGCGAAATCCATTTCGCACCGCTTGGGGTTTCCATGGGAAACCATTGTTTGCCGGTATTTATCAGGAACTCATCATTCCAGGGCTTCTTAGGTGGTGCAGGAATTTGTCCATCCACGGTAGGTAGGGAATGACCGGGTCCGGGTGTTGGGAATGAACCGGATCCGGGGATTCCTTTGAAGGAAACCCTGAGGGATGGTTTTTCTCGGAGTCATTCCCTGATTCCAACCCGCAAGACTAACATGACTCCACTACCAAGAAAATTGACGAGTCTGCCAATCATGTAAGGAAACAATCCAATCAGGAGGTCACAACCATTTGTAGGTCCAGATTTGAGAGGTTAGAATAAGGGCACCCTTTTTGCCGTAGTCTATTTTAGTAGGGGAACGCTCCCAACCAAAAAAATGGTGAGAAAGGGCACTAATTACTGGGGGCCCGGGGGCCCTAAATTCAGCTCACCGCTTCTTGCTTGGGGTTTGAGGGCCTTCCCTTGGTGCCCCAGAAAGGCCTGACACGCAAACTTAGTTGAGGGGAGCAACAAGCTAAATTTTAGCAGGTAGGTGGGAATTTCAACCACTAAACCACAATTTGCAAAGATGTACAATGTTTCCCAACAACAACCACGCAAAAAGGCGGACCCAAAAAGGTTCGACCAAAAAGCTGGTCTTGGGACACCCGAAACGCATCATCTTTGGGTCGCACGGCCACTGCCCCGGTGCGATCAATTGTCTTTAGGGTGAGACACCTTGCCGTATTTATTGGGTTTGCCCAAGGTACCATGGAAACGAGTAAGGAATATCTAGCCTTTGGAAGAAACACCCGACTATCACCTTTTGGGTCGATAAGTAAAGCTTCATGTTGGGCATATTGTGGAAGATTCCTATGATAAATACCCCTTTTCTCTAAGCCCCACTCACTTCGTTACTTCCCTGGTGTAGGTTGAAGCGGAGAGACCCACCAGATTTCGAAGACTTTAGACTTTAGACCCGTCCACTTCAATGGCCCAAAGTCAAAGTGCTTCTTGCCCGCGACAGCTACATCTGCAAACTATGGATCCCACTAGAATGGCTTGTGCTTCTTTCCCATTCATTTACCCTCCCTCCAACTAACATGGGCTTGTGCACAAAGCCCCTTTTCAAGAGGAAAGTCTTGTCGTTCTGTAGGGGTCTGTGCACTTCCGTGTTAGTCGGTGGGAGGGTATCCTTTCCCAAAAAAGCTAGGTTCAGTCTTGTCAATGCAGCGCAAAATTGGCCGTCTGCCCATCCCATGCATCGGATCCGAGCAGCGTAGGACCTAAGCCGGGACATGGGATCTACACACTGTGGATGGACGAAACCCAAAATCAGGGGTGTCCTATAGAATGTTACATGAGCCATGAGCAGTGCCTAAATTCACATCCATACTGTGGATGGAAAAGCGAAATCCAATTCACACTGCGAAGTGAAACCCTGGTTAAAAAGGGCGCTACTGGGGGACCTAGGGCAAGTCCTACTTTGGATGGAAAAGCGAAATCCAATTGAGATGAAACCCATGGTTGGAACCATAACGTTTGTTGGTATTTACATTGGGGAATCATATATTTCCAGGGCTTATTAAGTGGTGCGAAATGGATTTCGTCCATCCACACTATGGTCGTCTAAGTTCCCCAAGGGGGTGAACATAGCAAGCCAAGGCCAAGCGGTGTTTTGACCATGGCGCATTTGGGAAAGACTGAAGTCAACCGCGGTTGATCGTGGTCCCCTTTTCTAGATGGTGGATATGCCCTGAGCAAACAATCTAACTAGATGGGAACAGGAGAGCTTAACCATGTTCCCTTTTCGCTTCCTTTTGGAAGCTATTTGAGCAAGCTAAGCTGTTGCAGATTCAGTGGGCTCCAAAAATGCTAAAACATCTCTGATTCTACCGCATAGCCATGTTTAACACCTCCGGCAACCTGTGAAAACCCTGTCCGACACGCTGCTGGAAACCGGAAACCAGTCCGCCTGAAACGAAGCGATCATAACCGAAATCCAAAAAGAGGCCTCCGGCCGACCCAACTAATGGATTGCCCAGAGGCTCCTGGAGCTTTCAATGAAAGACCCGACCCCTCCATTAGACACCCAGGAGGTGTTTGGGGGTCTCAAAACCTGGCTGTTTGAGGGCCCTAAATACATCGGGAGCCTCTGGGTGTGACAAAACCGATTCCACAAGTAAGCCGAGCAACACACAAAACAAAACTTAGCAAGCAAGCATGCAAGCGGGCGAGCAAGCAAGCAACCTAGCCAGCAAGCACGGAAGCAACCAAAGCCAACCAAAGCAACTGACATCAAACAAAAGCAAACCAAAACAGGCCGAACAGAACAAGTCGAGCCGTCGAACATAGTATCCATCGGGCAATCAAACAAAAACGAAGCTAATCAAGCGAACACACAAACTTATAATATTCGTAAAACCAAACCACACATACCAGGCCAGATCAAGGTAATTCAAAGCACTCAAACAACTGACTTGTCGAGCAATGCCGCAACATACCAGACACCAAACGAAAAGCCAGCCAATCAAGCAATCAACTCAACCAAACACAAGCTCGCCAAGCCATCAAACCAAGAATACCAAAGATGCAATCAAACCACACCGAACCCAAATGCAAGATTAGCAAGTAGGCGTCGGGCCGAACAATCTTGGCAGTGCGCTTCGCCCAGGTCTCCCAGAGGTTAGAATAAGTTGGTACAATTCTTTCTGTAGTCTATTTTTAGTAGGAAAAACCCACCCCCCGAAAAAAAAAAAAAAAAAAAAAAAAAAAAAAAAAACGTGAGATAATCGGTTGCACCACTTGCTGGGGGCCACTCGTCACTCGTCACTCGCCCCCCTATAGCCTTCCGAGTTGGCTCCGCTCGGGGCCCCCGGCGTCGAGGCTCTCGAAGCTGAAGCAGCTCATGAAGATGATCAGCGTGGGGCAGTACAAGACGTAGAGCGCGGCCACGTTCCACCTCCCGCTCCCCGTGAAACCCAGCGACGACTTTCTTGGCGGTTTTTGCGTTTTCTTTTCCCGGGGAAAAAAATAGCGGAGAGGAAAAGGAGGCGTGGCGTTGGTCTAGGTGCTCCAGTAGTTTGAGAGGTTAGAATAAGTTGGTACCAACGATTTGCTTCGTTTTTTTCTCTGTAGTCTATTTTAGCAGGGGAACCCTCCCCCAAAAAAGTTGGTACAAGGGCACCTAGCTGGGGGACCTAGTTGTCGTTGCCCGGAAATCCCGCAAGAATGTCGTTAAGTATCGGGCTCCAAATAAATTGCAAACGGATTCCCCCCCAATGTCGCTGACTAGGAATTTCAAAAACCATGTTGCATGCAACCAGAGATTCCCCCCGAAATCGGTCTTTAAAGAGGAATCGCAAACACCCCCGAAACATGGAGCTCAACTTTGGTCAACTTTGGGGTATCCTTCAAACCAAGGTGAACATGGTATCCAGAGAGAAAGGGAGAGAGAGAGAGAGAGAGAGAGAGAGAAAGAGAGAGAGAGAGAGAGAGACCCATGTCCTAAGATGGGACGTGTCCTATAGCAAAAAGCGAGGGCTGGCTTCCTGAACGAGACCTCCGAGGTTGCCCAAAACGACACGTTCGCCATTTCTGCCGGCTCGGATGTTGGATTCTGGGGAAACTGCCCCGGCACCCAGTCGTTGGGTCTCCGAACACCACGCAACAAAAAACGAAACGCGCGGATCCCCGTTCATCCTGAAATTCAGGTAGGACATAATGAAAACAATGGTTGTTGATGTTTGTTTAAACCTTTGCCGTTCAGGATCTCCATCATCCAACAACTGGGTGCCAAGGCCATTCTTTTATTGAGAATCGTCAATTTGAACCCCCAGGGTTCACTCAACCCCCAGGGTTCACTCAACCCCAGAGGCTCCCGATGTGTTCAGGGCCCTCAAACAGCCAGGTTTTGCGACCGGGTCCCAAACACCAATTCCCGGGGTGTTTAATGGAGGGGTCGGGTCTTCCATTGAAAGCTGAAGCCCCAGGAGCCTCTGGAAAAAGGGGGGCAATTCATCTTGGTTCGGCTTTTCGAGTGATTCGAGTGTGTCACTTTTTTTTTCGGGGAATCCCCGATTTTTTTGGGGTTGGTTTTAATGAGAAACCAAAGGGAACACCAAACTATGTTCCTCCCAAAACTGCGGGGCCACGGCTGCACTGCCTCAACCGCCTGGAGATGAGACGAAAATCGGTGACGTTTCTCGCTCCGGCGAAGCTGCTCTGTCCGAGAAAACGCGGATGCCTCCCGTAGCATAAATGAGAAACTGCTGTGGATGGACTAAATCCTGCACCACCTAAGAAGCCCTGGAATGATGGTTCCCCTGCAAATACCAACCAACCATGGTTTCCCATGGTTTCCAAGTGGTGCAGGATTTTGTCCATCCACAGTATGTCCAGTTGTGAGCACAAATACCTCCTCTCAAGGCCTATTTTCCGCTCGGCCATAAGGGGCTAGTCATGCCCACGAATCAAGCGTTTTCCCAGATGCTCCTGACTTCGGCTTCCAATGGAAGATCCAGACCCTCCATTGGACACCCCGGAGGGGTTTGGGACCCAGTCTCAAAACCTGGGTGTTTGAGGGCCTTAAAGTCAATCGGGAGCCTCTGGGTTGGAAAAAGTAGGGAAATATGTCCAGTTGAAACCCAAAGGGGGAAATTCAGACACATCTTCAGCAAATGGAAGTTGCTGTTTTGTTGAGTTTTGGTGTACCTCCCAACACTAAGGGGACCAATCTCAGCTTGAAACACACCCAGTAGCTGTCCCACTTAATTGAAGCAAAATAGGAAGACTCACATTGTTTTGGGGGGTTCTCCTGTTTGACACATCCATTTTGGGGGGGTTCTTCTCCTATTTGACACATCCATTTTGGGGGGTCTCCTGTTTGACACATCCATTTTGAGGGGGTTCTCCTGTTTGACACATCCATTTTGAGGGGGTTCTCCTGTTTGACACGTTCATTTTGGGGGGGGTTCTCCTGTTGGTACACAGATAAATGAGCCTTGTGCCGCCCTTCAGAGTCTGCCCAAAGTACTTCTTGATCTGCACAAGGTCGCTGCCCCCTGGCGGTTTCTTTCCAATCGCGAACAAACAAATCCGTGCGATCCTGCGATCCATCATGCAGCTTCGTGTGGCTCTCTGCAAAGGGGTCCTGCTGAGTTTCAGTCTTACCTTGGGGAAATCAACACATGCTAGGTCCTCCAGATTTGAGAGGCTAGAATAAGTTGGTACCCGATGTTTTAGTTTCTGTGGTCTATTTGAGTAGGGGAACCGAATCTCCCCCCAAAAAAGTATCGGTCAAAGGGGCACCTAGCTGGGGGACCTAGTCATACAGCTTCCTGTGCGTTCCGCGAGAAAAACGGGGGTCCTAGATCTGTTTTAAGTTGGTGAAAGGTGGCTTCGGGTGTCCATTTCGCCCGCACAAAGTCGAATCCACCTCTAGCAGGGGATCAGAAAACGGACAGTCCAGAAAACCAAATAGAGAGGCCCGCACCGCTGGTTCGGAACCGCCAAGAGTTATGGGGATATAAAATGTTCAAGTCTGCTTGTAACCTTGCAACTGGAATTGTGGTCTTGTGAGTCCGGGCTTTTGGACAAAGGGATTTCTCTTTTCTGGAAGGTTTTGTGAAGGCTCAAGCCTCAGTCTTCTCGCGAAGAGTCAACATCCAATGGTTAGCAAAAACGACTCGCGGAATCTCCCAAAATGGGAGCCAAATGTTGAGATGGAGGTTCGGGACCCAGAAGAAAAAACAAGTAAAATGCCTCCTGCGTTTCGAATTCGAAGGGAAACCGTTTGAGAAAGGGATGGGGGGGTCTGGACCAATAAAACAGCAAGATCAAGGCCTAAGCAGATGCTACGAGAAAGGCCCTAGGAAATGGCATTTCTGCATTTGGTTTCATATTCACGGGTTGGGAGTTGTGAAATCAAAGAAAGATTCATCAACGCAACTCACGTTCAGTTAGCCCGTCATTTGATCCCATGGGGGGAAAGCTGGCTTTCGGAGGCTTGGAACGGGGCAAGGAAAACCCAGGTTCATTGAATGGGAAGCTGACCTCTTCGTTGGGTCTCCAAATACGGCATGGAGCCCCCAGGTGGATAATGTCAGGTAGCCTCAACAAAAACATCCTTCACATGATCATTAGACCAATGCAGAACAAAAAGGCAGCCTTGCTGGGCAGCAATGGCAAACAAGTCAACATTCTTCGGCAAACTGCTCCTCCAGCGCACAAGAAGCAACTGTGGATGGACAAAATCCATGTCGCGCCACCGTTCAGACACCCTGGAATGCTTTCCCAACGTAGACACCAACACACCTTATGGTTTCAACCATGGTTTCATTTCGCGGCGCGAAATGAATTTTGCATTTCCATCACTCAAAGGAGAGGGAAACACAGTTTTGTCAACGACGGGGGAACCCGGGACCTTAAAAGGAACGAACCCCTCCGTGACTGCGACCTCTCCCTTAACCTTGGGGCTAGCGCGGTGCAACGCGCTGTTTTCAGCACTTGAGCCAAAGCAGTGATTGGATCATGCTTTGGCAACCACTTGAATGTACAACATGCAACTGACTACATGAGAGCCTACCTCATGTACCTCTGGGCCATAAATGTCATCGTGATAATTGACTCCCCCCTCATTGACGGCACTGAGGGAGTGTCTTGGGCGCATTACCACGCCAACTTGAAGTCAAGTTTACATCACAACGACTGACACAAGTTATTCAAGCATCACCCAGGCACTTTGCACACTTTTGGAAATTTGCGGACATGCTGCAGCGCACTAGGCAGCTGCTTTAGCGGCTCTACTTTCACGAACGTCTTCAAGCTTCTCTGGAAGGTCAACACGAATGCCGAGCAACCGGATGGCATGGTCCCACTTGTTGGGTGGAAGTGCTTTCGTGAAGATGTCCGCTGACTGCATGTCGGTTTGGACGTATTCTATCGAGATGTGTTCGCTTTCAAGCTGCTCTGCGATGCACGCGAGGTTCACCTTGTGTGTTCGCTGGACACAGCGTAGCTTGGATGAGAAACCTTTCCTTGCTACGAGGATAGTCGCCTGATTGTCCTCGTGGATCTTGAGATGGAATGGTCGGTCCAAGATCAGCTCCCACAAGCTAAGCGCAGGGAGCGCCTCCTGATAAAGGGAGTATGCGAGAGATACAATCTCCGCCTCGGTCGTTGACCGGGAGACCGATGTCTGCCTTTTGGATACCCACGCAAGCGGAAAATGCGTGTGCGGACCACTCAAAATCAAGAATCCTCCGGACGTGGATTTTGCATCTCGCTCTCCGGCGAAATCGGCGTCCACATAAAGGGACAGATGCAAATCCTCAGTCGAATCTTGGACTGTGCCTACTAGCGTGCTGTTGACCGTGCTGTTTATGTAGCAAACAAGCCTATGTAGCTGCTTATCGCAGTTTCTAGACCATTTTTGAACAAATGAGGCAAGGTCGCCAATGGGCTTGACCAGGTCTGGGCGTGCCAAACGGCCGAGCCACAAGGCTTTCATCAACACGCGGCAAGCAGCGAAGCCGAGCTCACCCTCCAAGGCGTCATCTGCAGGATCGAGGGATCCAGCGGGACAGAATGGAGTGGTGGCATCACGCAACTTTTCACTTTTTAGCTGTGCAACCTCAAGATACAATGCCACCGTCTGACGGGCATAATCCCGCATGTCGAACGCCATGCCCCCTTTCAATCTGCCCATTGCGGCATTAAGATCGGGTTCAGTTGGGTCCTTTGGAGCATCTATCAAAAGGTGGTTCCTGCCTAGCACCCGATATATGTCTTCTGGGGGTTCTATATCAACCAGTCTTGTTAACTTTTCCCAGAAGTCTTTATGAAGGTGGCTGGGGCCGGCCAACGTCAAGTCGTCGACGTATGTCGAGAGAAGTAACCCGGACTCCTTGAACCAGAAGTTTCCAGGAAACTCTGCGACCTCACGCCCTCCAAGTTCACTAATGAACCCTTTGAGGTGTGCCTCCCAGAGTCCGCCAGCGTCAGGATGCCCATAAAGAGCTTTAACGAGCAAAACCACAGGTTTCACGAAACGCTCGCGCCACCACCTTGGCCGGAGCTCAGGCGGGAGTGTGATCCAAGTTTGGTACTTGGACTTCAGCAGTGCTTGCACATAAGCCTTTATAGCGTCCGCTGTTGTGGTGGAATTCCCTGGCAGGGATCCATAAGCGAGACAGTTATTAAGACCTTGTACGCTCGTGGGATTTGCTCCCAACTCTTGGTATACAGCTGCTGCGCCATGTTCGTCTTTCGCACAGTCTCCGCGATACACAATCCTACCTTTCATCTTCTGAAGGTGTTTCGCGAGTTCGGCGAACTTGACGGATGCTAGCGACATCAACTGCCCGAAATGAACTTTTATACTGGATCGTCGCGCCTCAGCAGCGACTTGATCATACTCTCGGACTGAATTTAGATCCCAGGCACCGGCTTTCTCCAGGCCTGTGGCTTCAAGTCGAACGGCTTCAAGAGCTTCCGGGGAAGCCAACATTTCGGCACGTGACAAGAGTCTGGTCACCATTGCGGTGATCTCAGGATCCTTCTTCTCTGTGACTTGTCCTAGGGAATGTGCGATGAGATTTTCAACATCAAGAACTTGCTCAAGAATGTTGTGACACTTTTCATCTGACTCAACAGCAACACCTATATCTTCCAAACCGGAGAGAGGGGATATGTGCTTCAACTGCTGTTCACGTTCCCGGTGATCGAGAGGCAATGGCACTTGGACAGGCATCGCAGGCACAACGGGTTGAACTGTTGGATACAGCGCACGGGCAACTGTGAGACACATGCCTTCGGGGTAGAAAGCGGTCTTTGCGGTCTTGTTACCTGCTGCAAGCGAATGTTTATACCCTTTTTCGTGCGGACACTTGAATGCACCTAGTGCGGATGCGAGTGTGCTATTGCTGGTCATGACTTTCCATGGCTTCTTGATGGGATAGCCATTGCTGTCCTTCAGGCCTAGGGCGCAACCATGGAAGGTCGCTGGGGTGAAGACGTGTGCATATTCTCTAAAGAATGCGGAAACATCATCCCTAGCCCAGCTGTCGCAATCCCTTGGCCACTCAAACGAAACACTACCCCCCTGATGGAGGACAGTCTCTGCGTGACGTCTGAATCTGGAGAACAACTCTCTCGACTCTCTAACTTTTTGCTTCAGTTTCTTTTTGAACTGGCTTCCTAACTTGGCCTTATTAAGGCGTTGCCATGCTGAACCTGATGTACAGGGGATTGCGGCCCAGAGGTTGGGTTTATCACAACCTTCAATCTGCGACTGCAACTGGATTTCTCCTTCATCTGTGCTGAGGTCGATAAACTCTTTAGCCAGCCTAACATGAGGTATGCCAAGACCTTCAAACACGCGACCCATATTGGACTCTGGTGAACATGCGTATTCGAACATCACAGGCAACTTGTCAATACGCGCCTGTTTCTTGCGGGCACGATGATTTCCAACCTCAAACTGCTTGCGCTGTGGAGCTTCAACCTCTGCGCTGCATGGCATGCCGAAAATTGGCAATGTGTTCGGACGACCGTTCTTTGATGCATCGGTGAAAGGTGTCGGCGGTACGGAGTCTAACATCACGGCTGCACCTGTGGTGATAACACAATCGGACTGAATGGGTTTTAACTTGAACACTGTGAACCCGGTCCATGCATCTCCAAGTGAGCGATTGGGTCGGCTACCAAACCAACCATCATGGATGTTGTCTGCTTTGCCCCCCTGAAACACGGCACGAGTGGTGCGAGCTGCAGTAAATCTTTCTGGGGAAACGGGGCAATCCTCGACCTCTTTTGGGGTAAAGAGATTTTGCCTTGGCATGATATGGTATCGGACCAAACAGTTGGCATTTTCTTTGAACACCCAAAAATCTTCACCTTGCGATGTAGCGGCTGTCGCTGGCGCAGTATCGAAAAATGAGCCACCGGGTCTTGAGGGAGCGGGCTCCCCAGCTTCGGCTGCATCAAATTCATGCGCAACATCTTCTGCACTAACTGCGGGCTTAGGATCCTCTCCATGCTCGGATGCGTGGATTGCTCTAGC